CATTTTCTCCCATCTTCAGGCTCTCCATTTCCTCATCCAAGTATGTCCTCTATTCTCTCGCAACGGTTACAATAAGCAGAATATCAACATTAACTCTTGTTTTATATGTTTATCCTTCTTTAGGTTTGAAAGTCTTCCTTTGATTTTTGTCATTACAAGAAAGTAATCACAATCTATGTTGGTACCTCGGTAGTTTCTAAGGTCCATTAGTTCGGAAGAATGCTTTACGTCTATCTGGTTAACGTTTTCGTTGTCAGGGGATTTTCATGTTCCTTTATATATCATTTTATGGGGAAATTTTGTTCCTTAAGTTCCAAAATGTTCCTTAAAACTTCAATAAAGCAGGCATTGGAATAAGCCTTCCTTCTTTTAAGTAGTTACTATTACACAAGAAATTAATTCAAAATATATATATATATATATATATATATATATATATATATATATATATATATATATATATATATATTACATAACCTAACAATGGCATTTAAGAGAAAATCTCATTTGATTATCTGAATCAGCCTCCAAAATAACAATTTTACTTAAATTGTATATTGTTAAAACTGTGAAATGTATGTATAAGAGCAATTAGAAGAACAAACTCAAAAAATTACCACAGAAGAGATAAAATACTTGTTAAAAGTTATTGTATTTCTAATTGACACATTATTTAGTTTAAAACTTATTTACACTGTTTCTTAACTAACTCTTTTTAATATTCCCCAATGGCTCTGCAGCCCAGGTCGAATCCTGGCCTCCTACAGCACGCGCCTCCAAGCATCACTTTCCTTGGATGCTCTCCTCAAGTTATCCATTCCCTCTAGCATTTGTTGTCAATTCGTCCATCCACATCTTCCTTGGTTTTTCTACTGTCTGACGTCTCACCACAGTTTCACTAAGCTGTCTACTAGGTGTTCGTTATTATCTATTCTTATAATGTGACCTGTCCAGCGTAATATTTGCATTTTTGCATAATTTGCTATAGAGGGTGCTTTGTAATAATGATATATTTCGTTGTTAAACCTTCTCAATATCTCCCTTTCAAAAGTACTAATAAGGTTTATTGTTTTCTCTGTCATGATCCATGTTTCTGCGCCATATGTGGCTATTGGTCGTATGATGGTTTTATATATTATGGGTATTTAATTTTTGCCATTTTTTTTTCAGCTTTTCTTTCAGTATAATCTGCCCATACATGCTATCACTAATGCCCCTACAGTTTTCTTATTTTTCCCTTTCTTTCTTTTAATGTGTAAGGTAATAATATGTGATTTGAACAGTTCATCTAATATTTCGTTCAGATTTATAGCGTTATTGAATATTCCGTGTATGATAATACATTGGCAACTAGAGCAAGAATAAATATATCAGCTGTAATGGAGTAATTGACATTAATACCTATTTTCAACTACATAATGAATTCTATAAATAAAATTTTTATCTAGCAATGGGCTCTAATTTATTTCCATTATTAGAAGGTATATGAATAGAAGATTTTAAAATAGATATTATTTCTAAACAAAATTTAAAACCCACAGTATAGTAGAATATTCTGCACGAATAACGAACTACAAATAAACAACACGTTTTTTTACCACAAAAACCAATACAAATATAGGGTAACGGGTAGGGTGATTGGCCACTTAAGGAATTGCCAATTGAATTAAAGTTGTAAATTGGTATCTTTTGAAGTGAAATATTTTGTAAGGATTTTTTAATAGTAATGAAACATCAGATTTTATAAAAACTCAGGTTATTTTATTCAGAAATAATAATGTACATAATATTAAAAATAAACACAAATTTGAAAACTTACAGAATTACACAGTTTTTGGCCATAGAAACATAGTTATTGGCATATAGAATTACAGTCATTGGCCATTTACAACATTCGTAGTTTTCTTTTTTTGTTTGTGTAGGTAAAGCACAGAAAACTATTTAAGTTTTCAATTTCTTGTTGTTTCTTTGCACATGTACCAATATGGTAGCCTCGAACACAAAATATACATTTTATTCCAACTTTTGATTTAGATATATTATAGGAACAAGAATAACACAATCCTATATACAAAAGGTTATTTACAGGTGGGTTGATGTCGTCTGATTTACCGTTATATCTGAGAGAATTTGTATTTTTTCATGGATATCCCTCAGTTTCAAAAAATAAATTTCTTTTAGCTGACTCACCAGCACATTTTTCATTGCTGGTTTTCAAATTTGTACATTTGCTTTGGGATGTATTCTTCAAATTTGATAAATTGATATTGTTGCAAACATCAAAAAATATGTTATCAATTGTGGGCAGATTAACGTTTTCCTCTACAGAATCAGGAAATTGTTTTCGTGACAATTCTTGTTTTTCTTTGAGGACAACAATATCTGGAAAATGTACCTAACTCCACTTTTCAAAGAAATACTTCTAATTATATGATCAATAAGTGTGTCTGTTTTCAAAATATTTGTATCTGAAATATCAACTGTATTTACTCTAACAGTTTCTTTATTCTCCACAACAGTTTGACATGTTTTGCTGACGGAATTGACTCTTGTGGCAATTTTATTTATTACTCTAATCTTGATTTCCCTGTTTTTTGACCTTTATTGTTTGATTTTGCGTCAATTTGCTTTTGTTTTCATTTCAATTTTATTTTTTCTTGTTCTGATTTTTCTTCAGTTTTACGCCTCAACATTTTGACTATCTGAAGAAGTGAGCACGAAAGGCAACTTTTTTGTTTGAATTTTGCCCTTTCTTTCTAGGGTTTTTGGCCAAAAAAAGAAATTTATTGATTGAGGTGTCAATTTCTTTAGATAATGAGTTGTCTTGATTAACTACAGGCAGATTATTGGATGTCGATTGATTATCTTCTGCCATTGTATCTTCTGTGATGTCTTTTATATTATATGTAATATCAACGTTTTCTGAAAGTTGAATTCAAAAATCCTGTAGTAGATTTTCTTCTGTAATAACACGAATATCTTGAAAGTTGCATATGATTTCATTGCCACCTACAGGGTTAAGTGTAATATCCGAAGATATATGGGTTTCTGTGATGATAGAGGTATCTTGTATATAATTTGTGATTCCACCTGTCTCTGTAGTCTGAATCGTGGGTAGATCTATGGTATTTCAAAATAAATTAAATGTATTAAAGAGTAATTTTGAATCTCCACTTAGTTCTTCGCAACTATCCAAACTTTGAAATTCTAACATTTTTGCAACTCCAACTGTGTCTACAAACAAATCGGCAGCAAATCTGCAGGTTGTATAATTCTGGTTGCATTGGGATATAGAGCCACTAAAATAATTTGTAACTTTGAACATAATTTACTGGTTTGAATGGTTAAGTGAGTTTTATATCCATCAACGAACAAAATGACTGGAAAATTAGTGTTTTTTGTAACTAGGTACTTATATAAGACGTTTTCTATGTATTTTCGTGGAACGGAACATTCTATGCCCTGTTTTCATAGAACGGAATTTAAAATAGGCTAAATAATCATTGGTGTTGTTATTTCTCCAGATGCTGCAAAGGTAAACATAACCATCAAATTAACTTTAGAGTGATGCTCTATTTGATATACATTTTTGCGTTCCATTTACAGCCAACACTCGTTTATTTTTGGGACACAAAAGGAAGCAGGTTTCATCTCCATTTAAAACACGTGAAGGGTCTTAAAGAATATCAATGTAACCTTTACGATGCAAGTATTTTTGAAAACGGGTGAACCATTTTTGTACATCTGTTATAGACACCACTGAACTTGCTGTCGTTACTGCTTCTAAAGTTCTCTCACTTAAATCTGGGTATCGCTTTAAAAAGGATCTATAGCAACCTCTTCCGGGTCGATTGTCAGTAAAAGGATTGGCAGATGAATTTGCGTCAAGAAAACCTTTAACCGAGTCTTGTATATCTTCCACTCTTACTGGAAAACCTTTGTCTTGACATGTTATAATCTAATGCTTTAAACGATTCTCTTCCTCCAAACAAAGAATAGGATTGGGACCAAGGGTAGTTATATCATATAATGTTACACTTTCTCTAAACTGCAATGTTGCTCTTAGCACATTAAATTGTTCAGCGGCTGTTCGTTGGCTCATGACATTTTCAATGGCCTGAAAAGCAGACTAAAGATCTTGTTCTATATATTGTTTGTGATGCGTTTTATCTTTCCGGATATTTGGCAATCTTGATTCTAAAAATAAAAATCATTTTTTCGTAATAATGTTAGCTACAATACGGGCGACCCAAATATGATGCAATATGTCCTCATTAGCACTAATTTTATAACAACTAAAACAATTGTAATTTTATAAATACAAATCCGGACAAAAAATATTCTTATTACTGATTACAGTTATTGGCCACCCTGTGGTTTAGTGATTGGCAGTCGGCCAACCACTGGTTATTGCCTTAAAAAATAAGAAAAAATGTTTGAAATATCTTATCTTGGACCAAACTAGTGCTAGCTAATCATTATAACATGGACTTATTTAAGGTACAGTACTTAACCACTTAAATTTACCGCCAAAAATGCATAACTTAACTATTAAAACCACTGATAATGTAAGATGTACCCCACTAAATCGCCATTAAACAATAATATACCCAAATACATCATAATATGAGCCAAGATAACTCACCTCGTGAATAGCCTTCCTTAACAAATTCTTTAAAAAATCTCTTAAAACTGGATGCACCTGTTAAGCTTCAAACAAAACACGCCGTAACAACTAGATAATATTAACTGAGAGAGATGATAGCTAGACTAAATATACAGCAATGTTGGCAAATTTATATGCATTTAAATTTATTTCGTTATAGTTTCTGAAAATCTGAATATTTCGCATTTTTGTGAAAGTGGTCAATCACTAGTGACCGGCCAACAACTGTACCCGTTACCCTACGTGGATAAAGATCACAAATAGATTATGTTTTAATCTATCAACAACATGAGCCTATTATATGTTTTTTATTACCTTTGTGTTAAATTTTCAGAAAATGGCAGGAACTTTAAGCAACCAATCACTAATCAATGTGAACCAGTTTAATAACTTGGAATACCACTATAAGATGTCCACCAATAGCATCACTGATTTTTATAAAGGCTCAAATGTACTTATCACTGGAGGAACTGGCTTTGTTGGGAAAGCTCTTTTGGAAAAATTGCTAAGATCCTGTCCTGACATACAGCGTATCTATCTATTGATGAGATCAAAAAAGGGGAGGAATGTTAATGAAAGATTAGAGGAACTTTTAAAAAATCCAGTAAGTAAATTTTATTGTAGTTTCCAGTTTTAATTTTTTTGTTTTTATTTCTTTATTCCTCTTAATAAGTAAAGTGTATGTTTAATTCTCGATATCGTCTAAACAGTCGCTAGTGTTTTTTAGGTTGTCCAATGCTTCTTTGGTCTATTGGTCTCAAAATATTCTTATATTATGTTTTTCGATATTATATCAACACATTTGTTCCGTTTTATTGTTGTGTTTTATGTCCCTATGTAAACGAGATCTATTTAGACTACGTATTGATTATTGAAACATACAGAAGTATTTTAAGGGCAGAATCCTTCCCCGCTGCAGATGTTCCGACCAACCACACTCAGCTTGTAGCCATATTTAAAAATAAAATAAAAAGAATCGAAACGAAAAAGAAAAAACCAAAACCAGTCATGAACTTACTTAAGAAAGAAGAAACGAAGCAAAATATAACACTTTACATTAATTGAAAATATCGAAAACTTAAGAATATAAATACGGAAAGAAAGGAGAGAGAAGTTCATGGCAAGATGTAGTCTGAATTAAAAACAATAATTAAACAAACTGAAGATAATCTAAATAACATAAACCAACAGGCAAAAAAATAGATGACTGATGAAATATTATAAATAATTATCTTGAGAAGACAGTACACTTAATAAAGATAACAGTAAATATAAATAAATTCACAAACAAATAAGTCATATGTTAAAAATTGGAAATTTACATCACCAAGAAATTTAAAGATAGAGGTAACACTAGATAATACAGAAATAATAACTATTTTAGTCACATATGGCCCTAATGATGACGAATCATTGAAAATTAAAGAAGAATATTGGGCAGAGCTCAATGATGCTATAAACAATGTGAAAGATAGAATAGTCATTCTAGGCGATATAAATAGCACAGTTGGTAAAAGAGACGATAATAACATAAATATTTTGGGTATGCACGGGGAAGATACAAGAAACCATAATGGAAGAAGGATTCGCAAGGAGAATAATTTGATTATAACCAACACATTATTTGAACACAAGAATATACACAAGTTCACGAGAGAAGTTAGAAGCAGAAATGAAAAATAAATTCTAAATTACGTTCTAATTAATAGAGAATTTAGAAAAGAGGTCACTGATGTCAGAGTTAAAAGAGGCCCGGAAATCTATAGTGACCACTATTTGGTAGTGGCAAAGATAAGATTACCCAAAAAAACATCTTAAACCACTAAACAAAGAACAAAAAATAATAAAGTGAACGAGAATATTATATATATATATATATATATATATATATATATATATATATATATTATATATTTATATATATATATATATATATATATATATATTTATATATATATAAATATATATATGTATATATATATATATATATATATTATATATATATATATATATATATAAACAAATAAGAAGAAAAATGGTGGAGGCAAATGAGAAGTGGCTTAGGGTCCTGTTATACGAGCGCTAAGATCGTCGCGTCCCTCAACCGAATAAAGGCACTACCATGGACTAAATTATACGAAAAAAATTGCCGTTAGTGAGTTCACGTTAGTAGCGCGCAGTTTCGCGTTGCATATATCACGCATTAATTTATACGTAGCGCGGACAAGGTTATCTCAACGGAACGCAACGACAGTCACGTATAACTTGGAAATTATGCGCCCTGTTTTCCGCATCAATAACGCTACGGCATTGTCGCTCGTATAATAGCTCCCTTACAAAAATACGTGAAAATATAGACGACTTACAAAAACACCATGATATACTTCTTCACAAGAAAATAAAGAACTAACTGGAAATAGAAATAATAGACAGTGTGATATACTAACAATTTTATTCAAAATTTAGAAGCTACGAAACTCTATAGACGAAAGACTGTTCGAATATATAAAATAACAGTACAATACAAAAAAAAAATAAACATTAAATGTTGGGGAAAACATTTTACGGCTCTATATAAAACCAGTAAAGAGGTATATACAGACAAAGAAGACCTACCTATCTATCAAGAATTCATAATGTCTTAAAGCAAGTAAAACTAAACAAAACATCGGAGCCAGGTGAAATTAACAACGAACTGATCATAAACGGAAGAGAGGACTTGCTGGAACGGTAAACAAACTAATGTTCAAAATTTGGAAGGACGAAAACAGGCCTGTAGAATGAAAAAAAGGACACATCACAACAATGGTAAAGAAGAGTGATCCAAATAAGTACAACAACTATAGAGCTATTATGTTACTAAGCACAACGTATAAGATCCTGCCTACAATCAGCAGAAACCAACTAAATTGTTACATAGAAAAAAGTATGGGACACTATCAACGGGGATTTAGAAAAGTGAGATGGACAATACATATACTAACGCAAATCATCGAAAACGTTACCAATATAACATAAAACTACACATATTGTTCATCGACTTCCAACAGTCTCTTCAACAGACTTCCGCCTAATATACGCAAGAGCGATACCTATAGAAATAATCAAAACGATCAAAAATATCTATCAAAACAACACAATAAAAGTAAAAGTAGAAGAAGAACTAACCAACCCTATTGAAGGTGGCAATGGGGTAAGACAGGAAGATTCATTGAGTCCTCTATAACCATTCAGCCTGGTTATGGATGAAATAATAAAAAAAGTAAGAACTAAAAAAGGATACGCACAAAAACTATGCAGACGACGCAATTCTACCCTCTCAGTAAGTAAGGATGATTCACATCGTATGCTTCACCAATTTAATATAACCGCCAGAAACTTTAACATGCTAATTACCCCAAAAAAGACAAAATGCGTGGTTACAACAGCAAATTTACTAAGATGTAAATCTGAGCTGGAAGTTCAGATAATAGAACAAGAGATGGAGTTTGAATATCTAGGCATCACATTATCTAGCTACGGAAAGCTCGAAACCGATGTGGAAGATCAAATGAATAGAGCAAACAGAGCCGCAGGCTGCCTAAATGAAACAATATGGAGAAATACAAATATCGGAAAAGGAACGAAAGGCAGAATTTACAAAACAGTCATTAGACCAATAATGATATACGCGGCAGAAACAAGACCTGATACAGAGAGGACAAAAAGGATGTTAGAAACAGCAGATATGAAAACACTTAGAAAAATTAATTTTAAGATACTATGGGGCAGAGCTAGAAGTACAGATATACGACGTAGATGCAAGGTGGAGAACATCAAGAACTGGCTAAGAAATAGAAGAAGAAAATGAAATGATTATATAAGCCGAATGACAACAAATAGAGTAGTAAAGAAAACAAGAGACGGTTTCCCAATATAAAGACGGTCAGTAGGATCACCATGAAAACGATGGAACGACAACTTACTTTAGGCACATTGAAAAACGGACAGAGTCCTGTCTATACAAAAAGAAAAAGAAGAAGACTTCTAACAGGCTGTCGATAGCGTGTACAGACAAAAATTATTAAAAGAAATGAAAAACGGAAAGGCCAGTAAAGTTCACTTGATAAGACTGACTATAATGACAATGAAGGACTCATCAGCAAGAGCAAGGAGATAGTCTGTCAATGGTGTTATTTAATATCATACTAGAAGGTAGAAGGAATAATCATAGACGGAGAGCTGAAAAAATCAATTATTAAAACGTCAACACAAATCATAGGATACACGAACGAATCAGCATTGTTAGCGCATGACAAACAAAAACTAAAAAAACACTTCTACCTTTGATAAAAGAATTAAAGAAGAGAGGACTAATAATCAAGCAGAACAAAACAAAATACATAAGTACAAGAGACGGTGTAAGTATTGCTACTTTAAATATTTGGGAGTGTCAGTGGACGGCAAAAATGGAAGGACTACAGAAATAAGCGAAGGAATTAAAGCGGGGAGTGGGATGTTGGGATGTATTGGAAATATCACCAACTACTTAAAGACAAAAAACTGAGCAAAAAACAAAGACAACAATTTAAAAAACAGCAATTAGACCGGTTATAACATAATTCAATATTTCTTGGGTCTAGGTTTAATAAGTAATATTAAATTTGGCACTAGATTTTATTGGGCCGTTTAAATCAAGGTTTCGGTAGGTAATCCTTGCCTTTATCAAGATTCTAAAATATACAAGACTAAGAACAAAAAGTTATTGTAAAACATAAAAACTTAGTAAATTAAAAGCGAATTGAAAGAGTGTAAAAATTAACATCTGATATCTCATTGATTATTGTCATTAATAATTATGTTTACATGGGTGTATCTTTGGTGTTTCCGAAAGATTTATATCAGATTGAAATATATTTTATTTATATTGATGTTCGTTATTTTGTTTATTTTAAAAATTTTCCCTTATTGATTTATTTATGAATGTTTATAATATATAAAGATTATTTAATCCAATTTCAATGCTTGTGGTACTTTCGATATTCTTATATCAATGTCCGCTCTGCTTTTTCAAGCAAATTCCCGAATTTGTATACCTTCTCATGACTTGGTAAAAAATAAAGTAATGGATAAATCAACTATCGAAAGAAATTGTTAGTAAAATATTAGAATAAATTATATTCTTCGTGTGTTTCTAATCAGAGATTTGCATACTATGCTTCGTTTATTTTTTATCATTTAAAAATATTTTATCAAGATATTACGTAGCATAGATAAATTTTAGCTTTTGCTTTATAATACCTTCATTGTAGGTCTTTGGGCGCTTAAGAGATGAAAATGACGACATATTTATGAAGATTAGGCCCATTTCAGGAGATATTTCACTAGTTAATTTAGGAATGTGCAACGAAGATTTATTAGAATTAGTAGAAAATGTTGACATCGTTTTCCATTCGGCAGCTACAGTAAAGTAAGTGATGTTTAATTTTTTAAAGATATAGAAAATACTTGACGATAAAATAGGTACACGTTTTTCTCATTCCTTGTATTGGATCTTCTCTGACTTTCTCTCTCTAGCCAATAAAAACTTAAAAAAGGCAAATGGACGATAAAGAACTAGGTGTCTTTAACAAAACTGTATAAAATCAAGAAGAGGTAGAATTTTAGTACGTTCGTCAAAACCTACTGTATTTTCTTAGTAAAGTATCTCAGTAAAAGTACTGTAAGTTCAGAAATTTAATGGTAATCTAGTGAGTAACATTTACGTAAAGAATCTAATAAGTGATGTTTACGATATACCTAAGTATCTGACAATTCTGTGAAATTCTTTTTATTTTTTTTTCAACAATGCTAACTCTTCAACAAATACTTAAAATTATGCGGACAGGTTCATTCCAAAAAGTACCAAACTACCTCACAAGAAACTAAAGTCAAAAAACCTATGTAAAAAGTAAATACTTCTATTAAGTATATCTTTACGAAGCAAAATATGCCTATCAACTAGGCAAATCCTCCATAATGCCTTGTCTTTTTAAAGATCTTGAAAAGATCCGTCACGTAGTATTTAAGGGATGCTAGAGGGTTTATTAAATATTTGGCACTACTTTTATTTTAACATTATATTTATTATTGTTCTGAAGCTATTTTCTTGTGGCATTTTAAATTAATTACTATTTAACTGGGAATAAGCCACAATTAAAGATAAAAATAAGTTTATTGACGTTTCAATTTTCACTTTTCGATTTTCGAGAACGATTTCCGAAGTGGAAATTGAAACGTCAATAAACGTATTTTTATCTTTAATTGTGGCTTATTCCCAGTTAAATAGTAATTAATTTACTATATTTATTTCTGTATAAATAGGTTAATACTTTGTTCACATTATCATCCGGTAATTATAAACTTTATAACAATAATAATACTACAATAATCATAATTTGCATCTTACAGATGCAAAAAGGGCTAAGACCTGCTTGCGTATAAATCATAAGTGCAATGAGATCGTGCCAAAGAATTCAGAACATTTTATAAAAAAGTTAACATCAACAGAAAATAATTCAAGGTAACCACAAGACAATGAGACGAGGTAAAGGGAACAGATGAGAGGGAAGTATAACCACCAATGATTCTTGAAGTTAAAAATGCAGTTAAAAAACTAGCCAGAAACAAATCACCTTCTTCTTCTTAGAGTGCCGTCTCCCTACGGAGGTTGGCAATCATAATGGCTATTTTTATTTTAGAACTTGCTGCTCTAAACAAATCAATCGATCTGCATTGGTACCAATCACGTAGATTCTTTAACCATGAGTTCTGCCTTCGGCCAACAGATCTTCTTTCTTGAATCTTTCCCTGTATTATCAGTCTCAAAATTTCATATTTTGGTCCCCTCATCACGTGGCCTAGGTATTCCAGTTTTCTGGTTTGTATAGTGGTGATTAGTTCTGTTTCTTTACCAACCCTCTCCAGTACTTCTTTATTTGTAATTATATCAATCCATGATATTTTCAATACTCTGCGGTATAACCAGAGTTCGAAGGCCTCGATTCTTTTTAAATTACATTTTTTTAATGTCCAAGTCTCAGCTCCATATAATAATATTGAAAATATATAACAGCGAATGGTACGTAGTCTGATCTCCAAATTTAGATTTTTGCACGTTAGGAGTGGCTTCATTCGTATAAATGCTGATCTGGCAATCTCTATTCGTCTGTTTATTTCTACAGTATGATCATTGGTTTCACTGATCAAAGTTCCCAAATACTGATATTTTTCTACTTGTTCTATCACGTTACCATTTATTGTCAATAGGTGATGTATATTTTGTGGCCTTTTTGTAATCAGCATGTACTTCGTTTTTTTAGCGTTTATAGTAATTCCCATCTCAGCACTATTTATACTCAAGCTTTCGATAAGATGTTGTAGATCCTCTATACTCGTTCCTATGATCACAGTGTCGTCTGCATATCTTAAATTATTAATTAATTTTCCGTTAACGGTGACTCCCGCTTCGATATTATTGAGCGTGTTTTGGAAAATTTCTTCAGAATATAAGTTAAACAAAAGTGGTGATAACACACATCCCTGTCTAACTCTTCTACAGATCCTCATTTCTTCTGAGTGTTGCCCATCAATTTGAACTATGGCACTTTGGTTCCAATATAATGTTTGCACTATATTTATGATTTTACTGTCAATGCGCTTGTTCATAAGTATTGATATTAATTTTTCATGTCTTACTTTATCGAAAGCTTTTTCGTAGTCACCGAAGCACAAGTGTAGATCAACATTTATATCCCGACATCGCTGAATTAATATGTTGATGGCAAATAGTCCTTCTCGAGTACCCATTCCATTTCGGAACCCGAACTGCGTCTCGCTAATATCTTCCTCTAGCCTTTCGTATATTCGCTTATGTATTATTTTTAGCAGAACTTTTAAAGTATGACTCATGAGGCTCAGTGTTCGATAATCAGAGCACTCTTTTGCTGCTTGTTTTTTAGGGATGGTTATAAATGCTGACTTTAGCCACTCCTGTGGTATTATTCCCGTATCGTACACCGTGTTGAATAAATCGCCAATACTTCTAAGTTGTCCTCTTCCACTAGTTTTAAGAGTTCTACTGGTATTTCATCTAATCCAGCTGCCTTATTGTCTTTAGAGTTTTTGATAGCATATTTGATTTCATCTATCGTGATCTTCTGTATCTCTAAAGGATTTAATTCTTGTATTTTCTGCATTTCACCTCTTTCATCTTGGAAAAGTTCTCTAACGTACTCCTCCCATCGCCTTAACTTCTCTGGTAAATCTACTAGTAGTACTCCTTTTTTGTCTTTTATGTGTCCTTGCTGTCTATTTCGACCCATTCCAGTCACTTCTCTAATTTTTTTGTGCATATTTCTCATATCATATTTTGTTTCTATACTACGTTCCACGTTTAGAAAATAACATTGCGGAGATAGGCCCATGTATTTCTTATGGACGATAGCAACGCGGCGTTGCCACGACACACACAAGCACAATTTAGGGTTGTATAATTTGTATTTTTGTTTCCACAAACATGAATTAAATTAATGTTTTTTAACGTAATTGACCAAAAGTGCCCATTCGAAACAAGAGATGAAAAGTAGGGAATATGATTTTAATTAGATAAATAGTATTTACAAAAGATAATTTTATTTTATCTTATTTTAATTATAGTAACGACAGTTTATTTGTTTTTCGGTGAGAATACGATATGCCATGAATCATAGAAATCAGTAGAAAATATTGACCGCTTGGAATGCGTATATCTAATTACTAATTGCAACTTAAAATAATACGATGTGCGTATGTCAGCTATTTTATGTCGCTCTCTGACTACATAATGATAATAAGGCTTTTATTTAGTAGTTATTCTGACTTTACAGTTAAGTGTTAATTAAAAATGAAAATTCAAAAATTAAGCAAAGGGAATATCTTGGACATCCGTGCAAAAGAGAGTGTCTGAGAGTTTTGGCAACACTGATCTCCATAAGCGTAATGTTATTTTCTTAACTTGAAACGAAGAATAGTTCTTTTATCTCTTTACATTGCTTCATCAAATAGATTTCCTTAGCTGTTTTGATTTTTTCCTTAATTATTCGTTGTATTTCTTTATACTTCTGTAGATCTTTTCCTTTATACTTCCTTCTTTCTTCCATCAGTAATAGTATTTCTTCTGTCATCCAGTGTTTTTTAGCCTCTGATTTATGTTCTATTAAACTTTCTTGAGCTGGTTTCAGTAATGTGTTTTTTATATTAAACCACTTTTTATTTACATCCATAATTTGTTTGTTGTCAGTTAGTGTTTTTTGCATATTAACATTCACATTATTTTTTATTTCGTTTTTTATTTCTTCGTTTTGTAGCATTCTTACGTTAATTTTTGGTTGTTGTTTTCTGAGTTCAATTCTTTTTAATTTTATTTTCACGTCAGCCACTAGCGGATTGTGGTCTGAGTTAACATCTGCTTCAGGATAAGTTTTAACTGAGGTTATAGAGTTTTTATATCTGCTATTTACGATATAATTTCCCAGCTGAACTACATAAAGAAGGTGGCCATGATACCATAATACATACAGCAGCTTATAAAAGAAATATGGACACAGAAATCCCTTCCCAATAATTGGAATATTGAAATACTTTGCACCATACACAAAAAAAGGAGATATCTTTAAAGGCTCTAGCCACAGAAGAATTACGCTTCTAAATGCAGCGTATATAATATGTTCCACGGTATCATGTCACCTTATGACACCATAGGCAGAACGGATAGTAGAAAAATACCTGGCTGGTTTCAAAGGTAGTAAATCGACAATTTATCAGATTGCAACCCTGAAACAAATTTTGGAAAAAACACTCGAATATGGCATTAATACTCATCGCTTATTTATAGACTACAAAATAGTCTACGATTCTGTAAATAGAAGACAAATGTTGAAACCAATGATAGAGCTAGGAATACCAACTCAGTTAGTAAATTTAACAAAACTCTTGAAAAAGTTGAATGTAGAGTACGAATTCAGGGGAAACTGTTTGAATAATTTAAAACAAAGAATGGGCTACGTTCAGGAGATCCTCTTTTCTGTATACTGTTTAATCTGGCTCTGAAAAAGGAATACGTATATCACAAATGACAACCACTGGTTCAATATATAATAAATCAGTGCAAATCCTGCCCTATGCTAATAGTATCAATATTATTTTGAAAACGAAAAACACTACGAAAAGCGTATGTAGCATGAAAAGAATCAGCTACAATAATGGATTTAATAGTAAATACCAACAAAACGAAGTATATGAAAATAAAGTGATATAAGTCGTAATAATCTACGACCACTTGTTACAGAAAACGACGTCATCGAAACAGTGAACGAATTTGTGTACCTGGAAGCGCTCATTAACACTGAAAATAATACTACCGCAGAGATAAACCGCAGAATTTGCAAGGTCAACAGATGTTATTTTGGACTCAATCTCCTCCTTAAATCGAGAAATACAAAAATAAAACTCTACAAAACAATAATACGCCAAGTCCTAAAATATATTTCAGAGACCTGGACAAAAAATAATGAAAACATTATTATTATTATTTAGGATATTTCGAAAGAAAAATACTAAGGCTAATCAATGGAGCAGTGAATAACAATGGAGTGTGGAGAAGACGATACAACTTCGAACTTTATAGAACATACCAGAAACCTGATATCGTATAACATATTAAGATAAAACGTCTGAGGTGGATAGGGCATGTAATGCAGATGAAACAAAATGACCCAGCTAGAAAAATGCTCCTTGATATACCCATTGATCAAAGGATAAGAGGAAGACCCAGAACAAGATTCCTTGATAACATTGATAAAGACATGAGAAACATGGGAATACGTGGCGGAAAAAGGCGATAGGTAGGGACGACTGGAGAAAAATGCTTGAGGAGGCTAGGATCCACCCAGGGTTATAAAGCCAGAATGATGATGATGATGATAAGATCGTGCCATTACAGCCTTAAAGATAATAGTATACCTTCTCTTCTACATGTACATGTAGTAGAATTGCTCTAAAAGGATCTTCATGAAACCTCAGCATCCAAAATTCGGTGACTTGACTAAAGATCTAGTGATATAAAGAGTTATCAAGCAATCCATAAACATGCTTACAGATATTTTGTTTGTAGAACAAGATTTCGAACTCATAATTAATATTAACATTAGTGAGTGAGTACAAAATGAGAGTACAAATCATATGGAGTGCCCTCAGGTGCTAGACTCGGTCAAAAACACATAAAGGAGTACGAATAGAGGTTATTAGTTATAAGAACTACTTATAATAGATTTTTCGCTCAAGTGTGCCTGCAATCATTTTTCAATAGACCAAAAATCACAGTACAGTGATAATTATCCGAAAATAGAATAAGGAACTTGGTGTAGCCAACTAAGATAATACTAAAGGGTAAAGACAAACAAAAATAGTTTTACAAGCATCTACTCCCTCCGCAAAAACCTTTGGGAGCTTAGAGTAATCAGAGGTATTCTCATTAAACACTGCTTACTTAGATATCCTCTCTATGAAATGGGCAAAGCGGATAGCAACATGCAAATTTACGAAAATGCAGAGGATGAATGTATTTGTCATCCGCAACTAGAAGGCAATTGTTCACGAACACCACAAGTGCTTGGAACTTTCTCCCCAAAGCGTATGATAGGATAGATCAGGACATAAGAAAAAATATACATGCATTCAATTTTGTAAGTTAAACTTCTAAAGTGAAGATATTGGAAACAGTAAATTTATGAAACAAGATAAAAAAAATGAGATAAATCTAAGCTGAAAAGCTAATCCTCAATCACGACGATTTCTCCGTTCAAACAATAAACTCAAACAAAAAACTTTTCTTCTTTACTTCTAATATCTAACCAAGACGACATCCGTCAAAGAGCTGTATGTAAATACCAAATGACCTTTATTTATCATTTTTCTTACTTTTTTACTTGTCTCTCTTGCAACTTCTCTAACAACACTTGTAGCCACGCTTTTTATTTACTTATAAGTTACTTTACTACTATGTTTTAGATTTAATGAAGATCTCAAGCAGGCTTTAATTTACAATACGTTAGGAACCAAAAGGATATTAGACTTTTGTTGTGTGTTAAAACAGCTAAAGGTGAGGAATTAACTTGTTGGTAACGTATTGCCTAATCAGTTACATTATTACAATTATACACATTTTGATTGATATTAAAATAAGCTTCTTTTAGAGTTTTGTATATGTATCAACAGCCTTCAGCAACCCGGATAAAGAGAATATAAGTGAGTCAGTATACGAAGCGCCTTATGACCCAGAAGATATTTTCACTCTAATAGAAGACCTTTCCAAGGATTCCTTCGACATGTTATCTCAAAAGCTGCTAGTAAGTATACAAATAGTGATAGGAGTTTGTTAATGACAGATTATTTTTATTTTTAGGGAAATCATCCAAATACATATACGTTTACAAAAGCAATGGCTGAGCAAATGGTTCTAATGTTCTCAAATCGAATACCTTCGGCAATAGTAAGACCCTCAATTAGTAAGTACTAAAATAATATTTCTTTGAGAATATGCTAAAGCATTTTTTGCGCTACTTTTTTGGGATCCCAGAAAAATTAATAAAGATACTAAGTCTATAGAACGCCACTACAAATGGAACAACTTTCAAAAAGATTAAAGTAAATAAGGGTGTATGTGTTTCCCAACACTATTTAATCTGATTTTACAAGCAACAGTAAGAAAATGACCTTCGTAAACAAAATCCTTGTGTCAAAAAGACATATAAAACAAAAACAAAAATTAGGTATCGATAAATAGAAAATGACCTAAGATAAACGAACGCAAAACAAAGACTGAATAGAATAGACTAAAAGAATGAATATAAATCTGTTAAGACGCAAGACGCTATGAAAGACCAAAAAATCCCCATATAAGACTCTAGTGTATATAAGACTCTTATATATGAAATAGCAGCAATGCTAAACAAAAGGGAAAAATATTCTGAAAATCGAAAGCTGTTTCTAAACTTACTATGTATATGCTGGTAAATCTTGTTTCAGATTATGATTTGGGTATTTTTGAGAAGAAATGGACTCGATTGTATCTTTACTTTTATTGTTTTGTACAATGTTTTTGTAATGACATTGAACGACTGAGCGCATCTTATAGCACCTGCCATACACCGGAACTATGACCGCGTTGCCAGTATATAAATTTAGTCAGATGCACTGCAAAATTAAAATATACTGTTATTTGACAATGATACTTCTCACCATAAAAACCGACAATTTATAGTGAAATTTATATTAAAATGATCTTCGACACTATTGGGTCACTTAAAGGAGAAAGCAATTCAACGTTTCTTGTCTTTTTAAAAACGTTTTAATTTAAACATTTTATTTGATAACTCATACAAACAATGTTATCCAAGAATACATTCAATTAGGTCATATTACTAAACTAAACTAAAGAATATAGTCAGGTGCACAAACTTTTTGTGAATTATTAAATTATTGTTTTATATAATTGCTTCTTAAGAATCCGGCTCGAAGGACCAAACTATTTATAAACTTGTGTACTCGATTGTTACTTCACTTTTATTGTTTTGTACAAAGTTCTTTTAACGACAGTGAATGACTGAGTGATATCCTAGAGCACGTGTCATACACCTGAACTACGGCGGCATTGCCAGAATACAAATTTAGTCAGGTGCTTTACAAAATTAAAATATACTGAACAAAAGCTAATGACAACAATATTAGGCCTTAGTAGGACAAGAGAAGAAAAAAAAAGAAAGAATAAAGGGAAGGGGGAAAAGAGAAGGAAGAATAACGTAAAAAAAGTAAATGAACAGTAAAGAAAAGAGTATACAAATGCCGAAATTAAAGAATAACTAATAGGGGAAACCCTGTCAGGAACATAAAGTATCTCTACTTAGAATAGATTGGGCACAGACTGAAACGACAGCACACCAGTATGTTGAGAGAGACAGCTACCTAGACATCACTTGGGCTCAGAAGCAGGGCAAGGCCTGGAAGAGGATGTCTGAATGACGTAGAAAGAGACCAATTAACGAAAACAAACTTTTTCTTATTCTTCTTCTTCTTCTTATTTTATATCGACATGACTCTGTCTATATAAAAATATATTCAATGTGCCTCCAGTAAGTTGTCATTCCATCGTTTTCGTAATCTTCCTAGTGATCGTCTTTCTATTGGGGAACCGTCTCTTGCCGTCTTTACTACTCTATTTGTTGTCATTCGGCTTATATGATCGTTTCATTCTACTTTTTTATTTCTTACCCAGTTTTTGATGTTCTCCACATTGCATCTATGTCGTATATCTGTACTTCTAGCTCTGTACCATAGTGTCTTACCATCAATCTTTTTAAGGGTTTTCATCTCTGCTGTTGCTAACATCCTTTTTGTACTCTCTGTGTCAGGTCTTGTTTCTGCCGCGTATGTCATGATTGGTCTGATGAATGTTTTGTAAATTCTGCCTTTCGTTTCTTTCCTGATATTTCTATTTCTCCATATTGTTTTATTTAGACAACTGCGGCTCTGTTTGCTCTATTAACTTGATCTTCCACTTCAGTTTCGAGTTTTTCGTAGCTGTATAATGTGATGCCTAGATATTTAAATTCTGGAGTAGAAATTCTAGTAGCTTTTCTCCTCGATCATTTCTTCCTGGGGAACCGAATTGTCCTAAAGATGTTTCTAGATCTGCTTCTTTTACCCCTATTTTTGCGTTGAAATCGCCACATAAAATTGTGAATTGAGTACGAGAATTATCAAGCGCACTGCGTTATATCGTCATAAAACATTTCAATTTCTTCGTCTGTATGGTCTGTTGTTGGAGCGTATACTTGGATAATTTTGAGTTGATACCTACTGTTCAGCTTCAGAATAAGATATGCCACTCTAGATGATATACTTTTGATGTTTATTATCTTGTTCGCGTGATTTTTATGGACAAAGAAACCGATGCCTCCAACTGATGTAGTTTCAGGACCAATCTGATAGAATATATGCCCTGATTTGAGTGTTTTCAAAGTTTCACCTCTCATTCTAACTTCGCTAATACCTATGACATCCCATTTTATTTTATTCATTTCAGTTTCATTTTTCCTCGGACAGTAGACTTCTGGCATTGTATGTACTAACGTAGAGAGTTATGAGTTTTTTGGGTTTCCGTATAGTCAGTTTTTTGTCCCCCCAGAATCCTTGGGACAGACTGATAAATCAGTGTGAGATTCTGGACGTATCCTACTCACCTGGGGTAGATCTGTATTTGTTTTAAAAACTGACATCGCGTTTTTAAGGGGTATATTGGCATTAAAATACCACGCTTGCCAGACGGGTTGGTGAGTGTTCGTGAGAGATATTTAAACTCCATCACTTGTCCTATTATCTGACCTTCGAGCTCCAATTTACATCTTAGTAGGAGAAATCTTTGGCGAAATTAAAATGTTAAATTTTCTGCCGGTTATATTAAATTAATGCAGCATACGTTGTAAATCATCTTCACTTTGAGAGAGCATCGAGAGCATCGAGCTTATTATTGCATCGTCTGCATAGCAGATTATTTAAAGTTGTTTTCTTCCATTTGGTATCCTTTTTTAGTTCTTACTTTTTTTATTATATATAGAGGACTCAGGGAATCTCCCTGCCCCATCCTATTGCCAGCTCTATAGGGTCGGTTAGTTCTTCTTCTACTTTTACTGTATTGTTTTGATAGATATTTTCGATCGTTTTGATTATTCCTAGAGGTATCTCTTCTGCTTACAGTAAGTGGATAACGTCTTTTAATTTGATCCGGTCAAATGATTTTGTAAGGTCCAGGAAACATAGATATGCTGGTTTGTTGTATTCTAATGATTGCTCTTGTACTTGCCTCAAGATAAATATAGCGTCGGTGCATGATCTTATTGACCTAAAACCTTGTTGTTCTTCCGCTAGTGTTATAATTTAATTTAATTTATTTGTTATTACTTTGTTTGTTAATTTTAGTGTTGTGTTTAATTAATTAATTCCTCTGTAATTTTTTGGGTCCAATTTGTCTCCCTTTTTGAAAAGAGGTATTAGGATGCTTGATCTGAATCTTAAGGAATTCTTAAGGAATTCTGTTTTGTTCTATTATTTTTTTTTGGATTAGTTTTAATAGTTGTTAAGTCAGATCAGGTCGTCCGTACTTTAGAAGTTGCTTGGGTATTCTGTCCTCTCCTGGTGACATGGATCTTAATGCTTCCTTTACCTCTTCATCCTTACCTTTCTCCTCTTCAAAAAAAACTGTAAATTATAATAAATCAACTTTATAAACACTAAGATTATTGTTAATTTGATTATCAACTAATCGTTTAGCACGATCGTACTTGACTCATCTGGTTAAAATAAATGAATTTTCATTATCAAATATTTTTTCAGACTTTGAGTGTTCTTAACCGTCATAAACTCGAGGTTAAAAACTAACACTAAATACCAAGGTAGTGAAAATGTACCCCTAGTTTTGTTTTATTTATTGACATGTTTAACGTTTGTTTATAAAAAACAGTGAAAAAACAGAGTGTTATAATATGTAAATTATCATTAATAATACTTCGAATTTTACTAAATATTATTGTTAGTCACAGCAGCTTGGAGAGAACCTTATCCAGGTTGGGTGGATAGCGTTAGTGGAATCACAGGAATATTTATGGAGTGTGGACGAGGCACCATTAAGTCCATACTATGTAACGAAAAGTATAAGATGGATATTATTCCAGTAGACATAGTTGTAAATACTTTAATCACCTCTGCTTGGCATACAATATATCATAGGTAAGCTAATAAATAGTTTTAATTAAAATAATATACGAAGACAATCAATATTTGACGACAATTAAAATAATATACGAAAACTATTTATAGTTGATGACTAGACTTCGGCAAATATGCAAATAAAAATGAAGAAAATATGCGCATAAATATGCACGTGTTTACCCGAAAATATGCAAATATTTTACAAAATACGCATACAAATAAATAAAAAAATCGTAAAATAGTAACAATTTTATTTTTAAAAAAAAAGTGTACATAACTAAATATTTCCTACTATTCATTAAGATTTACATTTATTTTAAGTAACTACATCATTTTTAAGTATGAATAAACTTATTTAGAATTATGGTAACAATAAATGACCAAGTGGTGTTCAAAATTTTCTAACAAAAACTTGTGGCTTCTGTCTGAGTACATATATTTATATATGGAAAAACTTCGTTCAACGTCAACTGATGTAACGGGAGCATTTTTCAAACTAACCAAAATATTTGGTTCTAAATTAATTGTTTCCGAAATATTTCCAGCTAGAACACTGACTACTTGAGAAAGAATATGGTAACCTTTATTTTTTTCATAGTAGCTTTAAATTTTTTTAAAATATCTTTTCCAATATTACCTCTAACGTTCCGACAACATGACGCAAATTATTTTATTAATGCTGTACTTTCGAACAATTACAGTTTTGGTGATTCTAACTGAGTAATTGTTTTTTGAACAAAACTAAAATTTGATTTTATAAATGAAAGTTCTTGTTGAAGCAAGTTACTCTGAAAAGTTTGTTTAGAATCCAAAAGAGATTGGGAACTTTCATCTGTTAACGTATCAATTATGTTCTTTATTTTAACAAAATGATCTGCATAAAAATTAGCTGCTTCTAACCATGTTCCCCATCGCGTTAAAATAGGTTGTGGTGGAAGAGGAATGTTAGGTAGCGTTTATTTATAAAGTTGAATTCTTATAGGAAATTTAAGAAATACTTTTTTGACACTGGATATCATGGTATTTACACGAGGAAACTTTTTTCGTATTTCCTCTGCAACTCTGTTTAATCCATGCGCTACACAAGTAACATGTATTAAATCTGGGAAAAATATTTTTAAATTTTGTCCTGCTTTCACCATATAAGGAGCAGCATCCGATAAAATAAGCAGTAATTTATTAGAAGCAATAGTTGTCGAAAGAAAAAAAGTTGCTAATGTTACTTGTATAAAACGCGAAATTGTTAAAGCATTTGTTTTCTCAAGTTGCTGGCATAAAATTAGATGAGATTTTGGTAAGGTATCTTCTTTAAGAACACCAATCAATAAATGAGCAATATACTTTCCTGAGGAATCAGTGGTTTCGTCTACAGATATGTAAAAATAATTATCTGCAATTTCTTCCTTAATATTAATTAACACCGACGAGTATAGCCCGTTCACATTATTTCTTCTTAGAGACCGATCACTTGGAACATTAAGTTTGCAATATTTTTTTAGAAACGAACTAAAATTTACATTTGCTAATTTTGAAAGCGGTATGTTTGCAGACACTAATGCGCGACACAAGTCTTCATTAAAAGTTTCTTGCTCATCTAATTTTTTTGAAGTAGATTGGAAACATTTAGCCATTGAAGTTTGATGTTTTCCTCCTATTTTTCCTTTTTTTGCAATGTGTGAAGCAGTTCTCACATGTTGGTCTATCTGAAATTTCTTCTCACATGCTATCTATAAATAAAAATAAAAACCGTTATTTTAACCCAACCTTTAAAATATAAAAATATAAAAGGGGTTTTTGGTTAATCAAATAACTGGTTTGGAAAAAAAACACTCGCTAAGTGTTTTAAATGCAGTATTAATCCACAAATTAGTTTTTGTTACTAACCATTAGTACATCATATATCTTATTTTAAAATTCAACAAAAGTTTTTTTTTGTTAATTCAATTACAATAAAAATAATTGTGTTTTAGAATAGCTGACTTCATAAAAAAAAGTAAAGGTGAAAAATTTTTCTAAATACACACCATTGTATTGTACCATGGACAATTTTTTCTCACTAAAGGAAGCTATTTTTCATTTAAAAACAACCTACGAGTACTAAATTTCAAGTAAATACGTTTATTGGTTTTAAAGTTATTGTTGTTATTAACGAAAAGAATTTATTTTTTTTTTAATTTTAACACCCTGTATCTCGAAAAGTAAATAAGTTTGACCCCTCATTAACTATATCGTTTTGTTCAATTTTTCGAGAAGTATCTACAGTCAAACGTTGTAAGTGTCATTTGGAAACACCCTGTATGTATGAAATATTAGATATTTAATAGAAAATATTAGATAGTTATAATTTTGCCCCATATCCATAGACAGCTCTTTATAAGGTTTAATCCAAGTTGAAGCACTGGTTGTTTTAGGCATTATAAAATCACAATCTTCCTTTTTGTTACGCACAACGAGTGTTTACGCTTTGAATATCAAAACAAAAATGATTTACAAATCTGAGCATCAAATTAGAAATGTTTAGGTACCTAATTCAATAAACTGGGAGATTTTGGAAAATCCCTAAATTAGGAACAAAACTATTAGCCGTTTACCTGCTGTTAAGATACAATAAATTGTAGATAGATTTGGGGATTAGATCATAAAATGCAAATGAGCGAACCCTTAGCGATTATCCAATAACTGAATGCCTCAGTGACCGAGACTTTCTAAGAATGTTGAGGACTACTTAAATTTATCTTCTTTGAAATTGTAAATGTTTTGTACCTGTAGAGATTACGTACTTAGATCATTTCTTGATTAAAATGACTACAAAATGTTATACAAGAATTGAAATAAATTGGTATGTTTAAAAATTTTCAAATACAGTATAAAAATCTGAACTTTTATGCACTTTATGCAAACTTTTATACAAATATGCCAAAATATGAAATATTTGCATAAAATATGCACAATATGCAAAATATGCAATATGCATATTTGCCGAAGTCTATTGATGACAAAACATCGATAACGAGCAAAGTGGCAAAAAATTCATTGACTTCTTCTGTGTAAGTATTTGTTCTTTCCAGCAGGATGTTTTTAAGGACTTTATAGGTGGTACTTAGGATCGTTGCTCTTCGGTAATAATTGCATTGCTTTTTGTTTCTTTATGTGGATTTGTAAAGTAACCCCTTCTTTCTATTTATCTGGTATTTTTTCTTTTTGTGAAGTTCTTTAAATTTGCTTGTAGAAAGATCTGATTTTATTATAAGTGACAAGTCTTAGTTCTTCATACATTGGGTATTAGTCTTCGATTTAAGCTGTATGCATCTATGTTTAATATATTTCCGCAAGATTTGTTATATTGATTTTAAAAAGGAATAATTTACCAGAGTTGGCTGTATGCTATATTATTTTAAAAAATGTTATATGAATAGTTGACAGCCAGTTTAGCTTGATATACCGAAGCGTACGGGCGTTTGCGATAATTAAAGTAAACCTGTTAAACTTTAATTAAGTGAATTGTTAAAATACATGTTTTTGTGCTGTTTTATATCGGAAATCAAAATGGTAAATAAACAACATATTTATTTTGGATGTTACAAATAAAATCTTATTTTAAATTGCTGAAATGGATTAAAATAATGTCGTTTCTATGACTCACGCATCGCAGCCAATTCATATGTATCCAAATTCAAATCAAATATCATCCGCAACTATAATGCAAATCGAGTTTCTTGAAAATTATATACAATTAATATCCACAACAATCTCAAATAATCACATATAATGCTTCACCACCATTTGTTTACCATTCGTCTAATCCACAGATACCAAACCATTCTACCTCATTTCCGTCACTACCTTCATCTAACCGTAATAACGAATGCCATTTAGTTCCCAGTACGAAACGCCCGAGAAGTCCAGAGAAAGAAAATTGAAAATCGACAAGTTAACCAAACTCAATGAATACTGGCTAAGCAATAGATTAAGTAGCCTCAGTGAAGTCTGAAAAAAAAATTTTTTGAAACGTTATATGAAGGCACCAAAAAAGAACCCAAACCACCACCAATATTTTTCACTAGAGTAGAAAATATAAATCCTGTTATGGCACTGTTATATGAAGAAATTGCAGGTAAAGACAGTATTAAAGCCATTACCGAGCAGATAAAAATACAGGTTGAAGATGTTTTATTTCTGATATTTACTGTAGACCTTCCATCCAGCAGTCACACAAAAGTTGCTACTTCTTATGAAGTAAATGAGTAAATGACACCAAGTCAACAGATGTAATCTTCACAATAAAACGAGGTGAATGCCCTCCAGTCACACTCAATGGCAAGCAATTAACCCTTTCCAGCCCAAATTTTGTTTCAATAAATTTTGTTTAAAAAAAATTATGTTATAGGAAATGATACAAGAAAAAATAATTGTTGATAGCTTTTACGTTTTTGGTACCTGCATTATCCATTTATAACACTTGATATAGTGGTCTGGTAAAAAATTGACTATAATAGGAAATACGTTTATTATTGCACTTATACTACTACCAATTTAATTTTGTATATGGAAACTATAAAAACAATTTTTATTATTGTTTAAACATAAAAAACATTGTACTTAGAATATTTTATTCGAGAGTAAGACTTTATACATAATTTGTACCTTGTGCGATTTTCATCATGTTGTGGCCAGTGTCCTACGAAATCAAATTGAACATCTTGCACTGGTGCAGGATGCCATTACTTGTCTCTTATTTGGTGTTTTCTCTTGAGAAGGACGACCTCGTTTTCTCCTGTCAGACTTTCCAGCTTTTAGTAATGCGTTGCCAAATTGAGATTTGAATTAGAGGAGGGTTATATGTTTCACTTGTTTTTGTTTGCAGTGTCTTTAGTACAGCAACCAGGATTTGACAATACATGTATGAATAAGATTAAATATTATTCTCAAATAGAGTCTTTTTGGTTTTATTTTGATTCTATATAGTTCCTCAAGCATGTCATGCAAATCCACACCCCCATTCAATTTCTACATAGGTT